TCGGGGATTCCTAAAGACTGTTGGTTTTGGAGACTAATCGAACTCGCATTGGAACTGTATGTACATGTGGTCTGAGAAGGATGGTCTCTCTAGGACTTTCCAGTCTGATACCATTGTACTTTGTCCAGTTATGAGTGTAATATCTGGCACGTTGGACAAGGTGGGGCCTACAAAGGGGAGCCCCACGTTTGCTATATATAAGTTGGAAGAAAGAATAAAGTCTAAAAGTGACTCACCTCTGTCGTTTACGGGGCTTCACCATCCGCTGTGGTGCGCATTGCCGTCTGCACCCACGATCAGTTGCTTGGGTTCTACCAGGCTCCTGAATTCTTCCGGTGGAGCTGGCCTATAGTGTACCATGTAACAGGAAGCTACCAGTAGGCGCTTCTTCTTGATTTCTAGCAGCACCACAATCAGGTCGTCGGCGCTGTAATAAGACATAAAGTTAGCTTGGAGACCCTTCCGTACGAGTATGGCGGTTCTATATCTACTTACCGATGGTGTGTAGAACGCGTTATAGTGTGAGGATTTTAGTCCGGCGACGGCATTGCCCGAGGCAATCCATGGCTCTTGGACTAGAGCTACATCGGCGGACCCTTTCTCCATGGCAATGAGCAGTTCCGACGACACGGCATTGCTCTTATGGAGATTGAGCTGCAGCAATCTTAGGGACATGGGTACCGGGCTTAACTCCATTCGACGGGTTGACTACTAGCGTCAGGTCACCGTCTTCCTCCCCTTCGGACTCATCCAGTAAGTTTCTGGGCGGCGTCGACAATGGTTTCCAGACCTAGGTCTTTCTTCACCTCGCCTGCCTTCAGGGTGTGGTCATCCTTATCCCTGGGATGGCGCTTTTTAAGGCGCAGGTATACGCTACCCATGCCATCTTCCCGTATCTGGGATACAGGATGTCCTCTGCCTCCTTGTTAATCTGGTTTTGGTTTTCGCCGTCAAAGAGGGGCCTGCTTCCTTGGGCACGCGTTGCCGCTTGCTCGGTTGCTCGTCCTTTATGGTACTCTCGGCGAAGCGTTGGAGCGTTTGGTGGCAAGCATCTCCGCCACCTTGTTGGCGAAACAAGCCGTTGATGCCATGCTAGGAAGCTTGGCGAAGTGCAGCCTACTCTCCTCGATCCAGTTAAGCTTTACCTTCTCCTCTTCGGATAGGGCAGCTTTTGTCCGGAGCCGGCTCTGGATTCGAAGGGCAGGTTTATACTGCGTCTTAGCCTTCTTCCCCTCGCTTAAACGCTTCGGCGCGTTCCTGCACGGGGAGCTGGTGCCTTTTTCTGGAGAGCGAAGAAGGCTTTCTTCCTCTTCTTTTGAAAGCTGCACGCTCTCCAGGTCCAAGTCTGTATAGACAACGGCACCCGTGCGGCTAAGCCTTCTTTTCGTCGTTATATTGGCAGTAGCGTTACAACTGACTTGACCTGCTCCCGTCAAATCAGAGGTGTGACCGCAGGCGACACGTAGAGAGGATTGCTCTCCTCCGTGCCTTTCACCGACGTTTGGGCTGACATCCCAGCCCCGGTTGCCTCTCCCGTCTCCATCCTGTGAAAAATTTGTTTATTTCCGGGGAACCACCCACTTGCGTTTTATGCCTGCCGCTAGGCACCTCCAACCATGGCGTTTAGGCGGGAGAAATTGAATCGAAGCCTTAGCTAGACACTGCATTACCCCGGACGCAGCATGCGCCACTGCATTACCTTTGTACGGGGTAATACAGTGCCCATTGCCCAGCCGGCTCCCTCGTGGAGGGTTCAGCTAGAGGATTTTTACCAGCCAAATCCAAAATTGGATTAAAAAACTACTTAATATTTTAAAGTCAAACAAAATACATTACTAAGAAAATTTATTACATGATTAAATAAAATGTATTGCAATTCAATTCTTCATCACGCTTCGCGGAAATCAGAGCTTAAACTGGTTTCTTGCAAATGACTTCTACGAATGCAGTACATTTTAGTGAATATCTTGAAAATGAACAAGGGACCAAAATCGATCTTAGCACCAATTATGGTGCTAACTAAGAGCTATAAGTTTCAAATTTTGTAAATTTAAAATAAAGTCTTGGCACATGTTTTTTTTTTTGGTTTAAATGCGTACGAATGTCGCATTCGACATCAGAGAATTAGTCATATATACTTTTTAGGGTCAGAAATGTCTCTTTTACTGCGTTGCAAACTTTTGACTGGAATTATAACACCATGCAAGGGTAAAGTCTTTCGTTCCGCTTCTTTGACAAAAATTTTACACTGAGTGGAAGAATTTGTCATTTCTGACTTATCGTTTTTTTTTAGATCGGTTTCGAAGTTAAAATGGTTGGGGAATTAAAAAATTTCCCATTTATTTGGTTTAAAAACCACTAGTCAAGGCTCAATGCAGTCTCTTATAGGCCGGTCTTAGGAACAAAAAACTTACAACATTTTACGACACTTTGTTGCGAAGCACGGAAATTCTAACGGCTCATGACGCATTTTTTAATGTTGAAGAAGAGGTTTTCAACTTGGTGCCCTTGTATGGCACAACAACAGGAGAGTAAATTTTTAATGCCATAGAATTCTCCGTTAATGAAATTGGAGTGTTTGAAAAATTGTGCAGATGTGCACCAATGGAGCACGGAGTATGCGAGGAGAAATTAAAGGGCTCAAGGGACCGGTTAAGGGGGTAGACCACCCTGACATTATTTATGAATCAAATTTTTGTCTTACTTAATTTTTATGCCGACATTCTTACGGTCATTTTAAAATATCGGGCTCAAAAATATCTCATTACTTGTGGATTCTAAAGCCATTAGAAGTGAGCGCTGCAGGTATACCTTAGAGTACTTTTTTTTTACCTTTTTTGCGTTTTTCTCAAAATTACGTTTTTTAAAACGGTGTACATGATTTTCACAGCTTCTCTATAACGTCCTCTATGGCATGACGTACGATTTTTTTTCTTAAGATATACATTTTTAAAACAAAAATTTTGTCTGACAAAAAAAATTTTTTTTCAAAGTGCTCCCATTTGCTCAAAAAATGTTTTCCCAAAAACGGCTACGTCATACTATAGCCATATGTATATAGCTTTAAAAATTTCGTTTTTGAGTTTCAGATAACAAATGTGGTGTGCAGCATGTACACCATACCACCATTCGTAAATTTTTTTTTTTCTTTCAATAAGTATTTTTTAGTTTAACATATGTACTTTGATGTACTCATAAATAAAATGTATTCTTAATAAGTTTGTCAAAATGAATTTTTTAAAACCCTCCAATTTTCAGGCGTTCAGGGTGGTCTACCCCCTTAACTTGCGTAATTCACCAAGAAGCACTCTGCGCAAAGGCCTTAAATATTAAAGACACTATGGAGTCTGTTGTAAAAATGACTAATAAAATACGGGGAAGTAATAACGCCTTGACTCACCGTAAATTTAAGTTCATACTACATATAAAACTGTTTACCAAGGTTCGTTGGCTGAAAGGAACGATGTGTTAATATTTCTGAAGGACGAAGTGAAAAGTTCGGAAGAACTAATTGTCTAATTAGAAGACCCACAAGTTTCTGCAAATGCAGGGAATGTTGCCACAGTTGTGGCAAACGTCGTTGGTCATGGGAACATGTTAAGAGAAATAAATAAAAAGGAAATGAAAAGGGAAATATTATGTCAACAACTAATTTAATTAAAAAGAAAACAGAAAGAGTGTTGGCCACTCTGGCTTTCGCAATAGTAGGACGTGTTTTTGGTGCAGTCATCAAGAAAATATAAGTAAAAAAAACCCCAAGTCTCGTGGTAAGTTTTTTCCCTGTAGGACTACAATTGTCCTACCATTCTTCATGAAAGTACTAGTAAAGTAAATCTACTTTACGTGATTTGCTGGTGGTTTACTGACATCTACGTGGCAAACAGCTTTTCGAGCTTTAAGCTTTCGACCGACCGGCTTTGCATTCTGTTTCATTTCTAGCAATTTCTCAACTTAATTTGGTAAAGCTGGAATCGATGAGGAATACCGCGGGAGCTTCTCCTGCCGAAATACGAACTAGTCTGCGTGCTGATGGAGGGCTAACTACAAAGTTCTATTCAGATATCTTTAAAACTGAGAGACTAGTTTGCGTAGAAACGGACAGACGGACATGGCTAGATCGACTCGGCTGTTAATCCAGATTATATTGTCGGAGGTGCCTCCTTCAGTGCGTTGCAAACTTCTGACTGAAATAATAATACCCTGCAAGGGTATACAAACTGAATTCATGGCATTATTAAAAATATCCACGGCCTTTGCCATGTCAGTACACATGTATACATAGATCGGACCAATTAAATTCTGAAATAAAACTGACTCTCGCCGGTTCTGAGACAAAACAAAGATCAAGCAAGCGCTCTAAGGAATTTCGTACATTGTTGACTTGAAACAGCGAAATATCAAACAAGCCAGCAATAAAATCATGTTGGGTAGACGTTAGGCGGGTATTGGTCTCTCTCCAAAGTCTACTGGAAACCAACTGAATATCGAAAAGATGGTCCAATAATAGGAGGTTCTGACAATAAAGGTATGTACGAACATGTAATAAAAATGAAGCAACCATTAATAAATAGCTTCACACAGGAACAGGTAATAAAAATGGAGCTACCTTCACACAGAGGAGTTCAACATCGTTGCTTTCCTCGAAGGTTAATAATTCTGAAGTGAATGAGGAGTTCACCGTTCACCTATAAGAACTCCACCCTCGCGTCTGATAGGGCGATCTAGCCGATATACTGTGAAACAGCTGGAAAAACTTCTTGCATTCTGATAGGAAATACCTAGGCAGTAGGTTAGTTTTTTGGGTCGGAATTGGAAGACGTGAAAGGCGCAGTGGTATGATCAGGCCTGGGAAGAGTTATTCCTACAGGCCGCTTTTTCTTTTTCTTCTCCTCGAACTCCTTAACAAAAACGTACCTTTGCCAGAAGTTGGTAAAGAAAATAGTGTTAAAGAGCTCTTTGTGGAAAGTCATAATATTGAGAGAACGGCGGGGGTGTTTTCATTGTTTATTGTTTAAGTTTATGTTTACTCCCTATCCCTACTCCTGCCACACATACATACTCATGCTAAAATGTTGGGGTTACCGGAACGGTCATCGGAACGAAATGTCAGATCACACCTTTGAAGGCTTGACCGTGACCTAATTCTGCGAACAGTCTTGGTGGCAGCGCTGCCACAATCCTAAGGCTTCCGGTTCCTGTTCCAAAACGGTTCTAGGAACCGCAACATCGGCCCGCCCTCCCTTGGGAGGCTGCAAGTTCGCTTTGTGGGTTGTCTCCCTTACTACCTTGGCTTCATGTGACCGGCCGCTTTTCGTCCTTCTCTCGGCTCATGCCAGAGGCTGCGCACTGCCAATTTCGCTCTCCCCTGCTCGCGTCTCAGCCCGTGTGTTGCCTCTGCAAGGGCTTGGTTTTTCCGTTAAGGGATGCGGATCTGCATATATACATATGTGGCCCTGATTAGATGTTGGCTCTGACACGATGTTGATCTGACAAGATGTTGCCTATGCCGATCGTTGACTCCGCCCCGTGTGTTAGTTCTGTCGAGCTGTGGCTCGGTTGATCGTTGGGCTCTGCCCTGTGTGTTGACTCTGCCTCGATGTAGGCTATGCCGATTGTTGGCTCGGCAGATGTGTGTTGGCTCTGTCGCTCTTGTGTGTGTGTGGACTTATTTCAAGTAATATAACTACCTTAAATCTATTATTTACATATTATAAGTAACTTACATCCACTATTTACATATTATAAGTATCTTACATCTACTATTTACATATTATACAGTATGGATTGTAACTGCGTCAAACTCCCCCCTCACTTCCGGGTGGGGTACAGAAACACAAGGGCGCGTCCGTCTCGGTTTAACTGGATTCGGAATCTTTGCCCCTGCTCCTCCTCCAGGTATCTGAGAGCTCGGCGCCAGTTACCTCCGAGGCGCTGCTGTATCCGTCGGATGAGTGGGGCTGGCAGCGTCCCGTTCGGGGTGACCCATCCCGGGGGCGCTGGTACCCACTGGGTGTGCACTCGGGGACCGTCAATTCGACCGACGGCCTCGCTCCGGCCTGATCGCTCGTCGTCGGATGAGTCGGTGTCCACCCAGTGTGCACTCCGTCGGCGTCCTAGTCGGATAGGCGGCCGTACCTCGGTTGGCCACACGGATGGGGTACCCAGCTCGTCACTCAGCTCCTCAGCACGGCGGCGAGCGGTGGCAGCGGCGTATTCGCTGGGTGTGGGTAGCGGTGTCCGCCTCGGCCCACCCCTCACCCTATATGGGTCCTGCCCAAAGATCCCTTCGAATGAGGGTGATGGTGGCCCCGCCGAGCTGGCTTGATCTCGGGGCGACCCGAGATGCCGGCAGGGTGACTCATTATCCCTGAAGGCCCAAGCCATGAGTACGGGAGGGGACATCCGACCGTGAGGGCGGGGGACGTAGTCCTCCCGGGTGGGGTCGTAGACCTCCACCACATCGCTGTCGCTGCTATGTCCGTGGGCGGCGTTGAGCTCCTTGCCGTCCTCGTGCTGAGGTCCAGTTTCGTCGTCGGAAAGGCCCGGGAATTCGGGCGACCGGGTTCTCACCTCACGGGCCATTTTCTCGAAGAGGTCTCGCGGCAGATCCCCAAAACACTCCAAGAGCTCGGTCATTATGCCGCTCGGGTAGGCGGGCGGAGGGGATCCCTCGACCGATCCCGGCTGAGGGGAGTAGCCGCTATTCGATGGCTGCGCGATAAGCGGTGGCGGCACCCACGGTATGATCTCGGCCGATACCATTTCTTGTGACAGTGGTCGGTCCTCCGGCCACTGGTAGTGGTTGGCCGCTTGGCTCTGGCGTGCTTGGTCCTCGGTCATTACAGGGGTGGGCGTAGTGGCGTTGACGCTGCTGTGTGTGGTTAGCGGAGACCCCTTGAATGCTGGCGGCGCTGGTGCAGACGTGGTTCGGTGTGTGTAGACGGAGCTGGCGTAGCGATGGTGCAACGGCGGGTCGGCGATGGTTGGCGGAGCTGGCGTAGCGACGGATGCTGGCGGCGATGGTGCAGCGGCGGTTCGCAGTTTGTTGGCGGCGCTTGGACAGCGGCGTTTACCTGTATCCTGGTATAGGCGGGATCTGTTGAAAAGAAAAAAAAAGTTGCGTTAGGAGTGCCTCTCGAAGAACCCTGCCTAGGAGTGAGAGGAAGAGAGTACCAATGTTTAAGGCGTTGGACAGGCGCGCCTGTCAGCAAGTGCGTGACGCGTGCCGCACACATTAGAAAATGAGCAAAGATAAATAGAATATAAGAGAGAAATTAGAAATTATAATTAAATAGAATATAAGGGAAAATAATAAAGAACTTAAAAAAATGTCAGGAAACAAAATAATAAAATAATTTTATGAAATTAATTAATTAAAGTCGCAGCGGCGGGCACACTAGAATATTTTAGCGCTAAAGCTGCGTCCGCTTGCTGCAGAGGCGTATATTGGCTGCAAAGGTCCGGGTGAGTCCTCGGCATGTTCCGTTGGCTAGTTTTACTTGGATCCTGATGTCCCGCATGTTCCTTTTGTTATCTAGTTCCCTGGCTAGATTTTCGCTTACGAAAACATTAATAGCTCCTGTGTCCAGGGCGGCAACGAATCCTCGTCTTTCCATGGTGAAGACGGCCCAGATGCGTCCCAGGTGCTGGTGGACGCAACCTCCTATTGGCTGCATGGGTTGGCTGGTTTCCTCGGGTGATTTCACGTCACACGAGACCCTTACCCGTTTCCTGAATCTGGGCGTCGGCAGCAATCGATGGCCCTGAGTCCGCAATCCCAACAGAAAGTTTTGGGATACCGCATTGCGACAGGCGTCGCGAACGTAGACGTGCGGAAATCCTGCCTCCGGACGAACAATTGGTACTTCGGGAGCATGTTGTCGTAGATCCGCTCCCGCTCTCGGTCCGAGGAAAATCCTGCTTGGCGCATCTGCAAGCGAAGATCAACCAAATATTCCTTAAATGGTTTGTTGGGCTTCTGGTAAATGGTCCAGATCTCGTCCTCCAGCCGCCGATAATAGCGCGGCGGCAAGAAAAAATCAAAGAACTCGTAACGGACTTCAACCCAGCCGGCTTCTCGAAGGTCACTGCACAGTGGTTGCGTCCATAGGCCAAAATTTAAAGAATATATCAAACAATATTGAATCAAAATGTAAGCAAATCACCTCGTAATTGTCCATATTTTTTTATTGGCATAACTGGTTTGGAATTCGAAAGGGACTTTCTAAAAATAGAATAGAATGTGTCAACACATATTCAACTTTACAGCACAGTGACGTTAAGTTGGTTTTTCGTCAAATCAAAACTGCACTTTATAGTGGTCAGGCATAAGCAAAAAATATCTCCGATTTCACTTATTCAAAATGCATTTTAAAGTATTGGGTATTAATCTTCTTAAATTAATTTTATTTAATTATAATTGGTTGTTGTGTATTTTTATTTTATAATAATTTTTTGTATATTGTGAACGTCATTTGGCTTTTTAAATAGACTTTTAGATATGTTATACTCCGATCCCCCTTTATAATATCAGTGTATTTTATGTAATATCAGTGTATTCGTCAATGTTTTAAAGTAATAAAAATGTTAAATGTAGCTGCTGATATTTGCTGATTTGTGTATATGTTATTCATTAACAATCTCAAGCTGTCTAGCTGTTGTAAAGGTGAAATTTTCGAAGCAATCTGCTGCTCATCGTATGTTTTTGTGATGTTTCTATAGTTTTCGTTTTTCGTGTCATTTCTGTTTGCCAAACATTTTGCCTACTATTATTATTTTATTTTTTTTTTTTCTTAATTTTTATGTTATCGTTTTTTTGCGCTTCATTTAATTTCGTATTTTCACGCATCTACATCTTTTTTCAAAAGGGGAAAAATGCTGAAAAAACTCGTATTGAAACCATTATAATTGAGTCTCTTCAAAAAAAGGTTTCAAGTCCTGAACGTGGACGGCCCAAAGTTGATTTTGCTGAGTCCTCAAAAAGTATGAAACGTCGTCGGAGAGCGCTGCTATTTTGCTGCTATTTTGCGTTCATCCGATTTTTCACTGATCTTGAAGGCATCTGAAGCTGATATTACAAAGGTTTTATCGCTTTTTATGTACACTGGATTAACGAAACACCAATACTTGCTTATTCGTGAATTCGTAAATAGTAAAGCTTCTGCATCCGTGTTGCCAAGCTATGAACAAATTCTGAAACTTATTCTTCAAGATATACCAACAACATAACAGTCGATGAAACATGTGCAGAAGTGGAGCTGCAGAGTCCACTAGACAATACAGATACAAGTATTAACGTTAATTGGAGAATGGGGTTTTGGTGGCAGAACTGGACACAGTGAGTACAGCAAAAGTTTTCAAATTATAATGACTTTGATAGATGTGTATTTGCAACATCGTACGTCCCACTTTAACTTATCATATAGCTGAAAGCAACTCCAAAATAATATGGAAAAATCCTAGGCCATCATCTACACGTTATTGTAGGCCAGCCAAATTCAATTTAAAAAGGAGTGCGCCACACTATCCGTTGAAGAAGACCTGTATATTAAAAACAAATTAGAGCACTTCAATTTAAAATTCCCAATTAGAAATTAGTCATAAATTATAGACTGCAAACTTACTTGGTAGATGGTAAAGGCTGCAAAGCGTCTATGAAATGTTATATTTGCGTTGAGAAACCCACTTTTAGACTTTATTCTTTCTTCCAACTTTTATATAGCAAACGTGGGGCTCCCCTTTGTAGGCCCCACCTTGTCCAACGTGCCAGATATTACACTCATAACTGGACAAAGTACAATGGTATCAGACTGGAAAGTCCTGGAGAGACCATCCTTCTCAGACCACATGTACATACAGTTCCAATGCGAGTTCGATTAGTCTCCAAAACCAACAGTCTTTAGGAATCCCCGAAACACTAACTGGGGAAAGTTTAAAGAAATAATCTCTCGTAAACTCGCGACTTGTCCGGGCACAGTAAAATCCGATGAAGATATAGAAAAGTCCCTAGAGACCCCCTCAAAGGAATTACTGGATGCATATCATGCATCATGCCCGATTTCAAGCAGCAAGAAAAGGAACAGACTACCCTGGTGGAACAAGGACCTCTCGCTCCAACGCGATGACCTCAGAGAATTCTTCAAACTCGCCAAGCAGGCGAGGATGATATAATCAACGAGGAATACATAATCCTGCTAAGGAACTACAAGAAGGAAATACGCATGGCACAAAGAAGCTCTTCGAGAAACTTCTGCTCCAGCAAAGAGTCGTCCCCAGAAACGGCTAGACTACGGAAGTTGCTTTTAAAGCAACCCACCATACAGAGTCAGCTCAAACGCGACGACGGGCAGTGGACTGAGGGCACCGAAGAGGCCCTAACTGCAATTATGCACGGGCACTTCCCAGGTTACACAAAGATCACTAACACGCACCCCGCCATCAGCAATTGGAAAGGAAATCTACTATGTTGCAGACGGGTACAATCAGATTGGGGCACCGCTTCCATGGTGAAAGGAGCGCACAGAGGCACGCCGCAAGGCGGAGTCCTATCGCCCCTCCTATGGAATCTAGTGGTCAACGACCTAATCAGAGGGTTCGAGAGGAAGGCCCCGAAGATAACAGCCTTTGCTGAGGATATAAGCATAATTATCACGGTAGTTTGTCCATCGACCCTTAGCTAGATCATGGAATCAACACTCAGGGAGATATGTAAGGGGACGGACAAGGTAGGACTCAGTATCAGTGCGGATAAGACGGACGTCATTCTCTTTACTAAGAGATACAAGGTACCGCTATGGATGTTCCCAAAAATAAATACAAGCCAATGCAGCATATTCCAGGCGGAAGTATTTTCCATCAGGAAGGCGGCACAAGAAATAGCCCGCCCAAGTGAGGCGGTAAACTTGTTCGTAGACAGTCAGGCGACAATCAGATTCATGCAATCGTCAGCGGTCAGTTCCAAAAATGTACTAGCAAGCAGAGACGCACTAGATATCCTAAGCGCGACAACAACAGTGCGGATCTACTGGGTTCCCAGTCAACAGGGCATAGAGGGAAACGAAATCGCAGACGAACTTGCAAAGGAAGAAGTCGGACTGGCTCTGGATAGAACAGAAAACTTCCCAGTCTCTCTAAAAACGCTCCAAAGCGAGTTGAAGAGGCGGGCGGACGTACGATCAAAAAGCAGGTGGAGAGGTAACTCTGCGACTTGCAAAACATCTAAAATCACGTGCAAAGAGCGCAATGACAAACTCAGCCACTACGTACAGCATATATCCCTTGAAGACTTCAGACTATAAGTGGAATTCTTACGAGTCACTGCCTGGCTGCCGCGCATGCAGTCATGCTGGGCAGGAAATGCGATGAGTCTGAGGCAACCGAAACCTTGGAGAATCTCATCTGTAAGTGGCCAGATCTTACGCAGGCAAGAGTAAAACACCTCGGTGCCCCAGTACTGGCATCACAAGCAGATGCCTCCAAGAGTTCGCCAGGTGAACTACTTGCCTTCGCAAAAACAACCGCGATCCTAAAGGAAAAAAAACATCCGGATAAATAGGGGTCATACTGGCCTATGATTGGCCCCCTCAGAAGGGCCGTCCGATTCAACCTTACCTAATCTATATACTCTCATTCATATATAAGTCTGAACGGGCCGTATCCTACAACTATTTCATATACTTGCCATATAAACGATTGGGAAATTTAAAAAAAAAGAGGGGAAGTTAACTTCGGCACGCCGAAGTTTATATACCCTTGCAGATATAACTTCGATCAGTAGAAATTAAAACAATACAAATTATATATATTTATGTTAAAAACAATGAAGTTATGCCTGCTTTCAATTTATTTACCTACTAGCCGGCCCGTCCCTGCTTCGCACGGGAATTAAACATTACATTTAGATTTGTCAATTTTAACACATTCGTAATAATCTATATATATAAAAATGCTCTGTTCGTGTCTACATCCTTCATAGACTCGAAAAGTTCTGAACCGTTTAAGCCCAAATTTTTACACAACATGTTGAGGTTCCAGCTCGGTTATTGACTACTTTTGATGTTGATAGCTTATCTGCGGTGGCGAATATATCTATTTTTTTAGCGTTTCCAAGTGCCCCTACTGCTGCGCCATCTACAGGCAGCCAGCTGAATCAAAGCATTTCCTGTCAAACATTCAAAACATATTGAAAGAAGAAACTTGAAAAGTTCTCAACCGTTTATGCCCAAATTTTAGAGAAGATGCGTTGAGGTTCCAGCTCGGTTATTGACTACTTTTGATGTTGATAGCTTATCTGCGGTTGCGAATATATCTATTTTTTAGCGTTTCCCCGTGCCCCTACTACTGCGCCCTCTACAAGCAAATCAAAGCATTTCCTGTCAAACATTCAAAACATATTGAAAGAAGAAATTGGAGATACAAATTTTATTTTTTGTTCAGGTTCAGTAAGAAACGAAGTCATGCCACCAAAGAAGTCGAGATTGGGTCGTCGTATTCGCAATACAGAAGCAAAAAGACGTAAGATTACGAATATGACTGACGAAGAACGGGCCTCCATCCGAGAGACGCGGCTGCGCGATGAACTTTTACTCATACAGGTTAATGGTTCGGAGGACCGATTGCAATCATATATTGAAATGTCGTCAGATGTTTCATCAGTACATTGTCGATATGTATGCAAAAATTGAAACAACGTTTGCTGTTCCTCCGATTGAATCAGAACAAACTTCGGTCCGAGGAATATATCCATTTGAGGGATGCTGTGATGAATGACCGTAATACAACCAACGTTGGAAAGCTCACGATTTTGCCATCCTCATACATAGGTAGTCCGAGCCACATGCATGAATATGCTCAAGATGCCCAGGCATATGTTCGTTGCTACGGCCGTCCAGACTTATTTATCACCTTCACATGCAATCCAGCTTGGGACGAGATAGTTCAGCTGTTATTTCCTGGACAATCGTATAGGGATAGGCATGACATCACAGCCCGTGTTTTCAGACAAAAGCTCAAGTCACTGATGGATTTCATTGTGAAACATGGAGTTTTTGGATCTGTGCGGTGCTGGATGTATTCAGTAGAATGGCAGAAGAGAGGATTGCCGCATGCGCACATACTGATTTGGCTGTATGATAAAATTACTCCAGACGAAATTGACAATGTGATATGCGCTGAGATTCCACGGGCAGAGGTTGATACAGATTTGCATGCAGTTGTCATCAAGAA